TCAAATTATTTCCAAAGCACCTTAGATTTTAGAAAGCTTTTCTAAGCAAATACTCATCTATTAGACTAGCAACAGGGTTGCTTTACTTTCTCTTTGTGGGAGGATTTAAGGGACAATTCTCCTCTTATGCTCTACGCCACTGTGAATCCATTGGCCACTATGTTGTTACTCTTGATTTACAGTGTAGGAAAAAGCAGTTCTTAGGTGGCGGCCCCAAGGAAACTTGTGCTTTACAAAGAAAATGTAATGAACTGAAATAGACCTTTGGATGGGAAGTGGGGAAAGCTACATGGGCATAATGTAGCAGGATGCAGAAGGCAGGAATGCATCATATTGTGGCAGCAATGGTGGGCTCTACAGTATGCGTCCGATATATTCACTTCCATCAAAGTGCACAAAAACAAAGGAAATGTTCAGCATAGATAAAACCACTCGTAGGCATCAACTCCATGGGTGCCCTGGGGCTCAAGCACCTACAGAAAAAAAGAGGGGGTGCTCAGCACCCACAGACCATGGCCCCACCCATGCAACGCCTTGAGGCCCCACCCCCCACTTGACCTCTTTCCTCTTGGGGCTGCTCGTGCTGCTCCTCTTCCTGTTCTCACTCAACCTCTTCCCCCAAGGCTCCTGCCGTTCACTCCTCTTTGCCCCCTCCTCCCGTCACTCGCCCTTAAGCCAAGAGGGGGCAGAAAGAAGCGAGTGGTGGGGAGAAGCTTGCGGGGGGCCGCAGAGGAGCATGCGGAAGGCGCTTTGGGGAGGGATCTCAGGGGCAGAGAGGAACAAGCAGGCGGCGGGGGGGGGGATGCCTCAGGGGTGGAGAGTAGCGAGTGGGCAGGGGTTGCCTCAGGGGTGGAGAGGAGCGAGTGTGCCAGGGGGGTGCCTTGGGGGCGGAGAGGAGCGAGTGAGCAGGCAGGGGCGGGAAGAGGCCGAGTGGGAGCAGGGATGGAACACCCACTGTCAAAAACAAAAGTGAGCACCTGTGAAATAGATATGCCAAACCTGCAAAAAAAATGCAGAAATTGGGCTTGTTTTTGGCTTAATTGCCTCGTGAGTTGTTTGTTGGCTAGTTTTTGGCTTGTAGCTTGTTGTTTCTTTTTTTTTTTTTTTTGATTGGCTCCTGGCAAGCAGGGGCGGGGGGAGAGAGTCAGGGGTGCACAGTGGTCCCACCAAAACAGTCCCAGACTGCACACTGGGGGGATCTAGTCACATAGAGTGTTGGGGTTCTTAGGGACTGGCTTGTTTTGGCCTTGTTTTGAAATGGGACTAGCTTGATTTTTGGCTTACTGTGAAAATCGGGGTGCTTATTTACCACGTGAAAGTTGGCAACTGTGCTGTGAAATCACTCCAATTTAAGAAGTTGGATGTCAGATTCCAAAGCCCACAGATTATATAGAACATCTGTCTCTAGTGATTGACCCAGAAATATAAAATGAGGTGGTATGTTGAATGTCCTGGGGGGGCCTGGAAGGTTACAGGTAGCAAACACACAGGAGCAATCATTCCTCCTTGCTTCATCTTATTATGCAGAAAGAATTATTACTATTCTTTAACTAAATTAATAAATTAACAGTGTTACCTCATTTTAAGTAGGTCAATTGCCCACTGGGAGGGATTATAGCCAGACCTTCTTAATTGGGGTTTATTTTATCTGCACTTCTGGAAACAAATAAGGCTAAAGAAGACACTCCTGCAGCATCCTATGTACCATTGACTTCTTATAGGACTAGTTATTGATAATCTAAATAGAAAATCCGAGCCAGGCCTGAGCTGGAAAGTTTGGATCCTACTGCAAAAATCAGCACTTTTTCTGATCTCAGGTAGCCGTTCAGGCTCATGTCTATAAGAGCCTACTCCTGCACTCACAGTAGTAAGTGGGAGTTTTGGTAATAACTTCCATGGGAGCGGGAGCAGGCTCAAACCGAGGGCCTTATTCTGAAAACCTTTATGTGTTTGATTAACTTTAAAGTTTACTCATGTGCACTGGTGTTTACAGTATGAGGCTCTGATTCAGTTACCCTTAAGTCTGCAGGCTCTATTCTCGCATCTCCTGTTTATATGAGTTGAGAACCAACTGCTCATATTAATTAGCGATTCAAGCTAACAGGAGAGAGAATAGAGTTCAGACAGAATGAGAATCTGACCTAAAATCTTTACCCCAAACCTTTGGGGAGGTTTGAAAATTTTGGGCTCACTTTTCTGTCCTCTCCAACGTAATTTTCAATTCTGCCTCTGCAGCATCTGGCTCTGTCTGGGAATGGAAGAAGCAGCATTATAATGCTATGGGAAGCTGCCATTGCAATATATGTTACAGTCATAAGCAAGACGTCTCTGGTTTGTCCAAGAAATCCAGTTCTTCCCAGCCTTCCAGCTGGTGAACTGGGTTTGGAGAAGTAATAAGAGCTGAGGGAGAGTGGGTGATTTAACTAAAGTGCATTAAGTTAGTCCCTGTGCAGGACCTCAGATAACATGATTTTAGGTAGATCATGCTTTACCAAAATCACTCCCCTGCCAAGCTCTTGACACTTAAGCTTCTCATTGCTCACTGACCTTCTCTTGAAGGATTTCCTATGGAAAATTCCCACACAAGAAAATCTCTGTTAAAAGTTCTCCACAGAGACATATGCTGAAGAGACTGTAGCATGGGGGTACTCAATAGGCAGCTCACGGCCCAAATCCAGATTGCCCAATGCTTTTGAATGGACCCCGAAATCTTTTTATTTAATTATCGTTATTGTTGTTATTTTTGTATTATTTTCTCTGGAGTCTGGACCTTGACTATACCTTGACCAAGAAATTTGAACCTTGACAAAAAATGATTGATTACCCCTGCTGTAACAGATTTAACCAGTTTATCATCTGTGTTGTTTTGTTTAATATTTTCTTTTCCTTTCTTTGATAATAAAATAGCCAGGGTTAATATTTGTGATTTTGTTTGGTTTTAATCATGGCGTTCCATAAGGCATAACTAAGTAGTAGGAGCCACACCCCTGCAAAACAATGAGTAAGTTGGCTGGCCATTTCTTGTTTCTCTAAAATAAATATTTTTAGTAATTTTTAAAATAAAATTACTTAGCATCCAACAACTTAAAATTCCTCCTTTCTACCACAAGAAGTTGCTTGTAAGTGCAGAGCCTGTGATAAGCTCAGCACATTATAATACAATAGAGTTGGTTGAAAAGGTTCCGATCAAAGACTTTTTCTCTCAGAAAATGTTTTATCAAAAACTAATTTTTCCACAGGGGAAAAAACCTCACATGTAATGACATTCTTTATTTTCTGAATTTTTTTTAACTGAAGGGTTTGGGGGATACACACCTTTTTCTGAGTAGTAGCCGTGTTAGTCTGTATCAGCAAAAGCAATGAGGAGTCCTTGTGGCACCTTATTTAGTCTCTAAGGTACCACAAGGACACCTTTTTCTGAATTTTCAAAATCCCAAATGTACTGCAGATGTGCACCAGTGTCACAGTTCAAAGATCTAGTCTACTTACACTAATTTTACACTCGTGTAAATCTTTTGACTTCAGTTGTGTTACTCCTGATTTACACCAGTATTAGCATCAGGAAAATCTCACCCATCTTTCTTTGACCTATTCCGCATTGGTATTATGTATCCATCTATAAATCAATGTGGCCTGTTTTTTAAAAATGTATATTGTGGCCAGCTGTACCACTTCCAGAGATGGAACACCTCTTATAGCCCAAGTGTAACACAGGCAGACCATAGTTGTCGTTGGGTGGGATTGAACCTGGGACCTCAGTACATGAGCTAAAGGCCACCTGGCCCTTAGCTAAGGCTGCAGCAGACTCATTAATCTCTAAGTGGTCTTGGTGCCACTAGAGTGAACAGAGCACCACACCAGAGGTTGTGTGGATTACACAAGCACATCACACTTCTAGCTAGTCCTGGGGTTTTCATTTATCTGGCATTTGCAGAAAGGATTATTCACACCTTCCCCAAACTGAGAAACAGGAGACTAGAAAGGTAATTTTAAACTCTTAAGCAGTGTTTTTCACGGGACTAAGAATTTGCTCATAATGACAACACAGCATGAGACCTCTGAGAAGGTAACTAGCACAAACACAAAAGCGGTCAGGAAGGCAGATGTGACCCTTTGGGGTTCACCCAGGCCAGTAAGGGGTTCAGTAAACATGAGCTTTGCAACACTGGGTGCATTAAATGTTATGCTGCTGTGGCTCACAGCCCGGACACCAACAGGAGGCACAGAAGCAGGCCAGTCACACTCTGGCTTCTACTGCTCAGTTACCTCTTGCAGAGGAACCTCAAAAACACTTCCAAGACTGAGTTCTCCCCCAGGAACCTCTTTCTGCAGTGCATAGCCCCTCTGACTGTAGCACTCACAAAAGCTTATCAAGTTTACTGCCTGTCAAGGTTCCTCCCCCACTCTGAACGCTAGGGTACAGATGTGGGGACTTGCATGAAAACCTCCTAAGCTTACTTTTACCAGCTTAGGTTAAAACTTACCCAAGGTACAAATTAATTTTATCCTTTGTCCTTGGAATATCCACTGCCACCACCAAACTCTAACTGAGTTTACTGGGAAACGTAGTTTGGACACATCTTTCCCCCCAAAATCCTCCCAACCCTTGCACCCCACTTCCTGGGAAAGGTTTGGTAAAAATCCTCACCAATTTGCATAGGTGACCACAGACCCAAACCCTTGGATCTGAGAACAATGAAAAAGCATTCAGTTTTCTTACAAGAAGACTTTTAATAGAAATAGAAGTAAACAGAAGTAAAGGAATCACCCCTGTAAAATCAGGATGGTAGATATCTTACAGGTTAATTAGATTCAAAACATAGAGAATCTCTCTAGGCAAAACCTTAAGTTACAAAAAAGACACACAGACAGAAATAGTCATTCTATTCAGCACAATTCTTTTCTCAGCCATTTAAATAAACCATAATCTAACACATACCTAGCTAGATTACTTACTAAAGTTCTAAGCCCTGGTCTACACTAGGACTTTAGGTCGAATTTAGCAGCGTTAAATCGATGTAAACCTGCACCCGTCCACACAATGAAGCCCTTTATTTCGACTTAAAGGGCTCTTAAAATCGATTTCCTTACTCCACCCCTGACAAGTGGATTAGCGCTTAAATCGACGTTGCCGGCTCGAATTTGGGGTACTGTGGACACAATTCGATGGTATTGGCCTCCGGGAGCTATCCCAGAGTGCTCCATTATGACCGCTCTGGACAGCACTCTCAACTCAGATGCACGGGCCAGGAAGACAGGAAAAGAACCGCGAACTTTTGAATCTCATTTCCTGTTTGGCCAGCGTGGCAAGCTGCAGGTGACCATGCAGAGCTCATCAGCACAGGTGACCATGATGGAGTCCCAGAATCGCAAAAGAGCTCCAGCATGGACCGAACGGGAGGTACGGGATCTGATCGCTGTTTGGGGAGAGGAATCCGTGCTATCAGAACTCCGTTCCAGTTTTCGAAATGCCAAAACCTTTGTGAAAATCTCCCAGGGCATGAAGGACAGAGGCCATAACAGGGACCCGAAGCAGTGCCGCGTGAAACTGAAGGAGCTGAGGCAAGCGTACCAGAAAACAAGAGAGGCGAACAGCCGCTCTGGGTCAGAGCCCCAAACATGCCGCTTCTATGATGAGCTGCATGCCATTTTAGGGGGTTCAGCCACCACTACCCCAGCCGTGTTGTTTGACTCCTTCAATGGAGATGGAGGCAATACGGAAGCAGGTTTTGGGGACGAAGAAGATGATGATGAGGAGGAGGTTGTAGATAGCTCACAGCAAGCAAGCGGAGAAACCGGTTTTCCCGACAGCCAGGAACTGTTTCTCACCCTAGACCTGGAGCCAGTACCCCCCGAACCCACCCAAGGCTGCCTCCTGGACCCAGCAGGCGGAGAAGGGACCTCTGGTGAGTGTACATTTTAAAATACTATACATGGTTTAAAAGCAAGCATGTGAAAGGATTACTTTGCCCTGGCATTTGCGGTTCTCCTAGATGTAGTCCTAAAGCCTTTGCAAAAGGTTTCTGGGGAGGGCAGCCTTATTGCGTCCTTCATGGTAGGACACTTTACCACTCCAGGCCAGTAACACGTACTCGGGAATCATTGTAGAACAAAGCATTGCAGTGTATGTTTGCTGGCATTCAAACAACATCCGTTCTTTATCTCTCTGTGTTATCCTCTGGAGAGTGAGATATAATTCATGGTCACCTGGTTGAAATAGAGTGCTTTTCTTCAGGGGACACTCAGAGGAGCCCATTCCTGCTGCGCTGTTTGCCTGTGGCTAAACAGAAATGTTCCCCGCTGTTAGCCACAGGGAGGGAGGAAGGTTGAGGGGGTAGTCACGCGGTGGGAGGAGGCAAAATGCGACCTTGTAACGAAAGCACGTGTGCTATGTATGTAATGTTAACAGCAAGGTTTACCCTGAAAGAGTGTAGCCCATGTTTTATAAAATGTGTCTTTTTAAATACCGCTGTCCCTTTTTTTTTCTCCACCAGCTGCATGTGTTTCAATGATCACAGGATCTTCTCCTTCCCAGAGGCTAGTGAAGCTTAGAAAGAAAAAAAAACGCACTCGCGATGAAATGTTCTCCGAACTCATGCTGTCCTCCCACACTGACAGAGCACAGACGAATGCGTGGAGGCAAATAATGTCAGAGTGCAGGAAAGCACAAAATGACCGGGAGGAGAGGTGGCGGGCTGAAGAGAGTAAGTGGCGGGCTGAAGAGAGTAAGTGGCGGGCTGAAGAGAGTAAGTGGCGGGCTGAAGACAGGGCTGAAGCTCAAATGTGGCGGCAGCGTGATGAGAGGAGGCAGGATTCAATGCTGAGGCTGCTGCAGGACCAAACCAGTATGCTCCAGTGTATGGTTGAGCTGCAGCAAAGGCAGCTGGAGCACAGACTGCCACTGCAGCCCCTCTGTAACCAACCGCCCTCCTACCCAAGTTCCATAGCCTCCACACCAAGACGCCCAAAAACGCGGTGTGGGGGCCTCCGGCCAACCAGCCACTCCACCACAGAGGATTGCCCAAAAAAAAGAAGGCTGTCATTCAATAAATTTTAAAGTTGTAAACTTTTAAAGTGCTGTGCTTAAAGTGCTGTGTGGCATTTTCCTTCCCTCCTCCACCACCCCCCCTGGGCTACCTTGGTAGTCATCCCCCTATTTGTGTGATGAATGAATAAAGAATGCATGAATGTGAAGCAACAATGACTTTATTGCCTCTGCAAGCGGTGATTGAAGGGAGGAGGGGCGGGTGGTTAGCTTACAGGGAAGTAGAGTGAACCAAGGGGCGGGGGGTTTCATCAAGGAGAAACAAACAGAACTTTCACACCGTAGCCTGGCCAGTCATGAAACTGGTTTTCAAAGCTTCTCTGATGAGTACCGCGCCCTCCTGTGCTCTTCTAACCGCCCTGGTGTCTGGCTGCGCGTAACCAGCAGCCAGACGATTTGCCTCAACCTCCCACCCCGCCATAAACGTCTCCCCCTTACTCTCACAGATATTGTGGAGCACACAGCAAGCAGTAATAACAGTGGGAATATTGGTTTCGCTGAGGTCTAACCGAGTCAGTAAACTGCGCCAGCGCGCCTTTAAACGTCCAAATGCACATTCTACCACCATTCTGCACTTGCTCAGCCTGTAGTTGAACAGCTCCTGACTACTGTCCAGGCTGCCTGTGTACGGCTTCATGAGCCATGGCATTAAGGGATAGGCTGGGTCCCCAAGGATACATATAGGCATTTCAACATCCCCAACAGTTATTTTCTGGTCTGGGAATAAAGTCCCTTCCTGCAGCTTTTGAAACAGACCAGAGTTCCTGAAGATGCGAGCATCATGCACCTTTCCCGGCCATCCCACGTTAATGTTGGTGAAACGTCCCTTGTGATCCACCAGAGCTTGCAGCACTATCGAAAAGTACCCCTTGCGGTTTATGTACTCGGCGGCTTGGTGCTCCGGTGCCAAGATAGGGATATGGGTTCCGTCTATAGCCCCACCACAGTTAGGGAATCCCATTGCAGCAAAGCCATCCACTATGACCTGCACATTTCCCAGGGTCACTACCCTTGATATCAGCAGATCTTTGATTGCGTGGGCTACTTGCATCACAGCAGCCCCCACAGTAGATTTGCCCACTCCAAATTGATTCCCAACTGACCGGTAGCTGTCTGGCGTTGCAAGCTTCCACAGGGCTATCGCCACTCGTTTCTCAGCTGTGAGGGCTGCTCTCATCTTGATATTCATGCAGTTCAGGGCAGGGGAAAGCAAGTCACAAAGTTCCATGAAAGTGCCCTTATGCATGTGAAAGTTTCGCAACCACTGGGAATCGTCCCAGACCCGCAACACTATGTGGTCCTACCAGTCTGTGCTTGTTTCCCGAGCCCAGAATCGGCGTTCCACAGCATGAACCTGCCCCATTAGCACCATGATGCATGCATTGGCAGGGCCCATGCTTTCAGAGAAATCTGTGTCCATGTCCTGATCACTCACGTGATCGCGCTGACGTCACCTCCTCGCCCGGTATCGCTTTGCCAGGTTCTGGTGCTGCATATACTGCTGGATAATGCGTGTGGTGTTTAATGTGCTCCTAATTGCCAAAGTGAGCTGAGCGGCCTCCATGCTTGCCTTGGTATGGCGTCCGCACAGAAAAAAGGCGCGGAACGATTGTCTGCCGTTGCTCTGACGGAGGGAGGGGCGACTGACGACACGGCTTACAGGGTTGGCTTCAGGGCGCTAAAATCAACAAAGGGGGTGCCTGTACATCAAGGAGTATTTCAGGCAGGACTGCACGGAGGGTTCCAATAAGAAATGGTGCACCTAAGTTATCGTTCTTATTGGAACAAGGAGGTTAGCCTGGCCTCTGATTGATACATGGCTAGATTTACCGCGCTGCACCTTCTCTGTGAGTGACTGCAGTGTGACCTAGAAGAATGAGTCCCCTAGACAGAGGATGTGGGGAAGCAAATGAGTACAAAACAAATCTGGTCTATTTCTTGTTTTGATCCACTCCATCTATCTTTTACATCTTTGGCTGGCAGCAGACGGTGCAGAAGGACTGCATGCCATCCACATGTCATGGCTGCTCGGCAGAAGATGGTACAGTACGACTGCTAGCAGTCCGTATCGCCTGCCCGCTCACCATAAGACGGTTCAATAGGACTGACTGCAGGACTAAAGAGAATGACCTGGTCAAGTCACTCCAAATTTAGTCCCTGCGCCCATGTCTACCCAGGCGCTCCCAGCCGACGTGGCCAGGAGCACCTCGGACATGACGATGACGGCTACCAGTCGTACTGTACCGTCTGCTGCCACAAGGCAAGGGGTTGCTGCTACTGTGTAGCAATGCTGTACCGTGTCTGCCAGCACCCAGGAGACATAGGGTGACGGTTACCTGAGCGGGCTCCATGCTTGCCGTGGTATGGCGTCTGCACAGGTAACTCAGGAAAAAAGGCGCGAAACGATTGTCTGCCCTTGCTTTCACGGAGGGAGGGAGGGAACGGGGGGCCTGACGATATGTACCCAGAACCACCCGCGACAATGTTTTAGCCCCATCAGGCATTGGGATCTCAACCCAGAATTCCAATGGGCAGCGGAGACTGCGGGAACTGTGGGATAGCTACCCACAGTGCAACGCTCCGGAAGTCGAATCTAGCCTCGGTACTGTGGAAGCGCTCCGCCGAGTTAATGCACTTAATGCACTTAGAGCATTTTCTGTGGGGACACACACACTCGAATATATAAAACCGATTTCTAAAAAAACGACTTCTATAAATTCGACCTTATTCCGTAGTGTAGACATACCCTAAGACTCCATTCCTGGTCTACCCCCGGCAAAAGCAGTGTACCGACAGACACAGATCCTTTGTTTCTCTCCCTGCTTTTGAAAGTATCTTGTCTCCTCATTGGTCATTTTGGTCAGGTGCCAGCGAGGTTACCTTTAGCTTCTTAACCCTTTACAGGTGAGAGGATTTTTCCTCTGGCCAGGAGGGATTTTAAAGGGGTTTACCCTTCCCTTTATATTTATGACACTGCCCCTTCAAAGAGACAGTACACAGCAGCCTATTAGCTCAACTGGGGTTAACAAAAGCTTTCCCTTCAATCGTTGCACTGAGGGCTAGTCCACACTACTGCGCTATATTGGTGCCTGGTGAAGACATGCTATGCTGACGGGACAGTGTTCTCCCGTTGGCATAATTACACCACTTCAACAAGAGGCGGAAGCTACGTTGGTGGGAGAGAGTGTCTCCCGCCGACGTAGCATGGTGTGAACACTACTTCAAGTCGATGTAACTTGGCGTTACTCAGGGAGTGGCTTTTTCACGTAAGTTACATTGACCTAAGTGATAGTGTAGACAAGCCCTGAGTTGGCTTACAGTAAAAGTAAAGCAAGTATGGTAACAAAAAGGATACAGGTTTAAGTGCTACCAAATAGAAGGAACTGGAATAGAAATGGTTATAGATGTAAGCAGTGTCAGGATGAGCTCCACCCTGACATCTGGTGGTGAGGTGTGGCAAGTTGTGGAAAAGAACTTCAGGGGCCGACCTCATTTGCATAGGCACACCCACCCCACCTAGAATGAGGCCATAACTGCCCAAATGGTCACTTTGGCTGCTGTGGGATCCCCAGTGTCTCTGTTATTGGGGCAGGAAGAATAAATTGTTGTTACGCTGATTATGGGAACTGTGCTTGGAACTGTACTTGGCCTTTTGTTATGATGGAGGGACTCACCATCAACTAAGTAGCACTCGCTAGGCAAGGGTCATGGGTTTTAAAACTGTGTGAAGAGAGAGAGTCTGGGGACAAGTATTAGTACTTGGTGGTATGGGCCCCTTGGTGAGGGCCTTACATGCTAATTGCACTTCCTCCTTTCTCCACTGTGGAATATTAGAGCTAATTTTGATTCTATTAGGAGTCTAGTTACAGGCTGCTGAGCTCACTTTGGGTTAATAATGCACCAGCACTGAGGCTCCCCTACTACAAGCTGAATTCACCAAAGAGCTGAGCTGAAATCACTGAGCATTGTGTTAAGTAGTGGGGGAGCCCGAAGATATATTGTGGAGCAGTTTGCAGGACGGCTGGAGTGCCTTGTGGACAGGCTGGTGGAGCAGTTCGTGGGACGGCGGGAGCTGCTCTTGGGCCGCAGAGCGGAGCTGAGCGAAGGAGTTCGTGGGGCGGCTGGCGGAGCGGAGCAGAGGCCTATGGAGCTGTGGGGCGGTCAGCTTCAGATCATGTAAGGTGCCTCTTACCCCCATCCCATCTCCACCCAGGTTGGGAGGTAAAGCTCCACAGATAAACTTTCGAACTCTGGGGCTGCCCTGACCAGGGACAGAGACTTTTGGGTCATTGGACTTTTGGGACTTTGGGTGATTTGGGGTTGCTGGACTCAAGAACCAAAGGGAAAGGGGCATGCCACAATTTGCTTGGGGTGGGTTTTTTGCTCATGGGTTGTGTTATGAATCCTGTTGGTGGTGTTTCCCCAACATAATGCCACATTGTTTCTCTCTGTTATTAAAAGGCTTTTTGCTACACTCAGACTATGTGCTTGCGAGAGGGGAAGTATTGCCTCTTGGAGGCACCCAGAGGGGGTGGTATATATTTGTCCCAGGTCACTGGGTGGGGGCTCGAGCCGGTTTGCATTGTGTTATTGGAATGGATCCCCTAAATATTGAACCCGGCCCTTGTTGCTGCCAACTCTGACAGGCAGAAGGGTTACACAAATAAACAAAAGTGAAAATATGCTATTAAGACTGAAACTCAACTTGAACTAGAGTCTCTGGTACAAAGTCTTCTCACTACAGTGAGAGTGAGTGTTTGGTTTTCTTTGTCTCCTCAGGTGAAGGATAATTTAAGGGTGCTCTCCATCTCTTCTTCATGTCCAGTAAACCTTAGAACTGTATTCTTCTGAAGCATATCTCCTGACGAAGGCCCTTTCCCTTGTTGGATATAGATGCGGTCTGGTGTAGTTGCAATGCTGGTTTCTCCTGCACTAGTGATTTTTACAATGCAAGTGATCTTCCTGCAATCTCTGATACAAATGAATAGCCCACTGACCTTGGCAACACCGGGCTATTGGCCCCTTTCCTTTGTCTGGAAAAAGCTGTTTATCAGCTTCCCCCGCTACATCTGGTGTAAACTCATTTTAGTCACATATTTCCAGCACGTCTGTATAATTCTCTGTGGCTTAACTGTGTGTATCTTATGCAAGAATAGTAATGATTAATTAGTTATTAGTTTTCT